TCTCAGATTTGTTCATTTTGTAATATTATCTTTAGTTCTCTAATTTTGGTGAATATTTTTGTCATTTTTAGTAAAAAGTGATATTTTTGACTTCTTGTTAAAAACCGCAAGTTCAATTGCTTTGATATTACATATATAGGTACTACTTGTGGAACTCTCTCAGATTTGTTCATTTTGTAATGATATCTTTAATTCTCTAATTTTGGTGAATATTTTTGTCATTTTTGGTAAAAAGTGATATTTTCAACTTCTTGTTGAAAACCGCGAGTCCAATTGCTTTGATATTACATACATAGGTACTACATATGGACCTCTCTCAGATTTGTTCATTTTGTAATGATATCTTCAATTTTGGTGAATATTTTTGTCATTTTTGGTAAAAAGTGATATTTTCGACTTCTTGTTAAAAACCGCAAGTCTGATTGCTTTTATATTACATATATAGGTATTACATGTGAACCTTGTTAATTTCGTGGTGATATCTTCAATTACTTAATTTTGATGATTATTTTTGTCATTTTTGGTGAAAAGTGATATTTTTGACTTCTTGTTAAAAACCGCAAGTTCAATTGCTTTGATATTACATATATAGGTACTACTTGTGGAACTCTCTCAGATTTGTTCATTTTGTAATGATATCTTTAATTCTCTAATTTTGGTGAATATTTTTGTCATTTTTGGTAAAAAGTGATATTTTCAACTTCTTGTTGAAAACCGCGAGTCCAATTGCTTTGATATTACATACATAGGTACTACATATGGACCTCTCTCAGATTTGTTCATTTTGTAATGATATCTTCAATTTTGGTGAATATTTTTGTCATTTTTGGTAAAAAGTGATATTTTCGACTTCTTGTTAAAAACCGCAAGTCTGATTGCTTTTATATTACATATATAGGTATTACATGTGAACCTTGTTAATTTCGTGGTGATATCTTCAATTACTTAATTATGATGATTATTTTTGTCATTTTTGGTGAAAAGTGATATTTTTAAATTCTTGTTGAAAACAGCTAGGTCCGTTGCTTTGATACTATACATATTGTTCATTTTCTAATGATATCTTCAGTTCTTTAATTGAAATGTGCATTGCTAACAGCGGAGCTATCTCAGCCGATAGGCTGCTTGTTTTTTTAATCTTTAATCAAATTAATTCTTCTTAATGAGGTTGTGACGGCAAATTTAAGTCACCCCATTACTGCAATGAATTAGTCTTTGCAATGTTAAGTTGATGGGATGAAACACAACAATCTAATTAATAATTCAAGAAATCTGAATGCTTTTAAATGCATTATATTATTCATATTGTGTACTGCAATGCTCTAGTACAATAAAACAAAATTGTGTTATTATTTTCTGGAGTATTAAAATACAACTTACCACATTTGCTCTATTAAAGGTGCATTCCCAAGAAAAAAAGCATGTACAATAATTGTATTTAATGTATGACAGATCATTAAAATATGACTTAGTTTGCCCATAGACACCTCTGTCATTTGGAACCACATGTCTTATTAATAGAGCAAATACAGTATTTTCATGCACAACTGTAAAATGTGTATTAGAAGCCTCACACCTTGTAGAAGTCGCACACAAATTTGTTGAGCAATTAGGAACCAAAAATTCACCATTTCTTGTATGTGTAGATGCTCTAATAGAAGCTGCATCTCCTTGTTTATAAGGACCTACTTCTAATAAAGATTTTACAGTATGAGAACTGTGTACTGTTTATGGTACACTATTTCATACTAATTGTACTGGTGTGTGGCAGTGCAGAAAGGTTTCAAATTTTATGTATATTTGATTTATTTCATATTTAATTATTTCATTGCATAGTCATCTTCTTCTCCAGAGACTATCTGCTGAGTTGTAGAAGTGAATTGGACTATACACATTAAATTTCAAAAGTGGGACGAGATATCATCTCAACTCAAAGAAAGCACAAGGAGAACTAAACCAATGTAGTGGCTCCATTTCCCTGCAAAAAATGTAACCATTATGTGTTCTATGCACCTTTTATCAGTTAAAAATTGAAAGGAACTATGCCTTGAATAGTGGAATAACCCTTTTAAGATTGTTCACTTTTATGTACTTTTGTGGGCTAGGGACAACCTTCCCACCCTACTTACTTGTACAGGTATATTTATATGACAATGTTTTGTTTTTTTCCCTACAGGATCGTGAAAGTCTCGTTGAAAGGTGGAAGACGAAACAAATGGAAAATCTACTAGAGTTACACAATAAAACGCCAGTTTGGAATGATGGTATGTATAAGCTCAAAGCAAATTTAAGATTATATGTCAGGGTTGTTATACTTTCATTGTTATGAGTTCATACCATCAGCATAGAGAAAGTGACAAACAAATTGGAAACCAGAAAGTTTGTTGAAGTACAAAATGTCCCAAATGTCATGGAAAATGGTCAAAATTTTAATTTTTACGCTGGTTTATATGGTGAGATTATTTCTTCATCTCTCAAAATTTTGCTTGGTGACTAAAGATGAAAAAGTTGTATATTGTTATTCATATGAATCCTATACTGTAGAAACATTTAAAAAATACTATTGAGTTATTTATCAGGATAATAGTTTTCCTTTATATACAATGGATTCTCTCCCACAATGCATTGCATGTATGTGAAGTAACAAGCCTCAGTAGTGCAAAATTTGAATTTGTCTCAAACTCATCCTCATCAACACTGATTTTCCTATAAAGCATACTTGCCCGATAGTTACTACAAATCTTGATCTGGTAGATTGTCATAATGTTTTTATTTCGAAGGTTTATGTCAGTGAGATACTAGTAGCTAGGCTGGTGTTGCCTTACAGTTGAACTCTTGTAGTATAATGTCAGAGTGTCGTGTGGTGTCTTGCATATATAATACTTTCCATGGTGTCCTCCCCAGGATTGCAACTGTGTCAATAAGAAGAATTATGTTTGATAGTTTTCCTTATGAATTGCACTGCTTTCCTAATTTTTCTGCATTACTTTATTACTTCTAATACATGTATCATAGTGAAACCATTTATTTTCACTGCTAATTAATTTCAATATTTTTATATTTTGAGCATGGGTTTTAGATTCATGAATTTTCCAGGGAACAAGTTATATTGTTTTTTAGCATGTTCACTTGAATTTAATTTTGTATATTTTACAAAATTAAACTCCAGTGAATAATAATTCATTTACAGTGTTTGCAAGAGGGCACGTACAAAATTGCAATGTGCCTCTGTAATTCTATTCAGGGAGAACACTGCTTCATATACCATGATAGTTGCACATAAACGAATACATACTGTAAAATACTTTACTTTCGCTTGGAATTAATTTTCGCTGAAGGGGTGATTAAGTGAAAATAAAATCCAACGAATATACTTTTTTTCTTATATTTTACATTCAACTCACCAAAAATCAGTGAAAATAAATTCCATACAAAACACCCAAAAAGTCTTTTTAGTGGAAATTAATTCCAGCTAAAATAAAGTATTCTACAGTAGATGGATAGCAAGACATTTAATTATTCACTTGTATTTAATTTTGCTATTTTCGCTGATAAGTGAAATTCGCTAAATTAAATGTATGTGAACATGTCAAACAACTCATTGTTTTCCTGCCAAATTCGTGAAGTTGAAACCTACCGAGGGTGGTGAAAAGACTCAAACATCAAAAAAGAGAAATTAAAAAGCCAGTGAAAATAAATAGTTTTACAGTATATGATCCATTATACAGTAAATGCAATGTTTTATTAGGTTTCCATAGAGATGTGCTTCTAATAAAGCAAATATATTGTATACACTTCCCAGAAGTATGGCTTATTTGATCAGTACATCCTCTTAATACCAACATTAATAGGAGCACCATATGCTACCCATAACATACACAGTAACATTTGCCTGTCTGCCAGTATGTTAGTTAAAATATTAAATCAGAGTACTGTATGCTGCCGATATTATGTACAGCAAAATTTGTGTATCTTGTGTCTGTGTTTTGAAAACAATGTGCACTAGACTATTCAGCTAAGTGGCACAGTGCTGCAAGTAAGGCAATTAATATTCATAGATGTTACGCCCACAGCAACTATGTCAATCATCAACCATGTATATCAATTAAGGCCGAATTCCATGATCTATCTGATCAGATAAATTGGATAGTATAAACTGCAAAATCTTACGCCTGATCAGATTTTTTAAAAATCAGACACATTCAATTTGGTCGTATTAAATCTGACAAAATAAATTGGATTGTGTAAACTGGCCTTTAGTTTTCAAAACCTGATTTAATTTTCTTTTCAATTCATACTTGTTTTATATTGCTTGACATTTATTGGATAGGATTTATTATATTATTCTATACAAACAAGTTTTCCTGTTTTCCTCTCCACATACATGTATTTCACAATGATATATTATATACTTTGCTTATTTACAGACACTCAATCATACGTGTTAAATTTCCATGGCAGAGTTACTCAAGCATCAGTGAAAAATTTCCAGATTGTGCATGATAATGATGGTAAGTCTGCTGTTATGTTGTTCTGTTTCTTTAGTGGTAGCTTTCAATCTGCCATTAGATGTATAGCTCTCCTTGTTTCTTATTCTATATTTACCGGTATGCTTTTATTCTGCAGTTGTACAGACCTTTTTCTGAACTTCTCGAGATCCCACATTATGCGTGAATTTGATCGCAAAAACAAGAATTTAAAGGTCATATTGTAAAAACAACAAGCAGTATTTTTGTAATATTTTCATGTTCCAATTTTATTCTATACACATTCGATGATGGTCAATTTTAATAAAGTAAGGATATTTTCATACCACATTCTCCTCTGAAAGATAGGCATTTCAACATTGAACTATGAACTATGAAATATTTCAAAATCAGTTCATTTAAGTTTTGCGCCAGACATCCAGCCTGAACCTTTCACACATCACATTAGATCTGGTAGAAGTTTGAGAAATCCTTAATTCTCAAAGAGATGCAGACTATATCTATGCTTGCATGTGGGAGTAATAGGAGCCAAATATGTATATCTTATTTATTGTATTACAAGTGAACATACTTTTGTTGAGTATGTACACTGTAATCCACAAAGCCATTGTTTACAAACCTAAATATTTATGAACTCCAAACAGCAATAGGTGATTTCCCGTTCAACTGCGAGATCTCGAGAGATGCATGAAAGACTCGCGTCGAACGTCTGCCGCAAAAAACGATTTGATTTTGAACTCAAATTTCTTTTTTTCGTAGGTCACATCGATCGGCCGATCTTCGACAGAGGAATATTGCTTTCGAATACCCTGACTTAATCGAAATTGTCTATCATCAAATGTGTACAGCACATTATTAAGCATGGAAATGCCCCCCAAAATATTTGCGCGTTTGTCGAATCCCACGCGATGTTTGACGCCACTACGACGCTATGACCTTTGTTTGTCCTGTTTTTACGTTCGATTTCACGCATAACGCGTGATTCTCACAGTGAACGGAAATTGGTCTATTGCACAATGTATGAGAGTGTGCAATAACTTTGCTTAGTAGAATGGAGGGAGGTGGCCGGCTGACTGACTGTCAAGTCCAATCACCTTATTTGGATTAGAATAAAATTGATTTCAAATCAAAACAGTTCATAAATATATTTATAAGTATAAACAGTGGTATGTTGTCTCCAGTGTATTGACTTTTGCTCATTTTATTTTTTAGTGGATTACATCGTTATGCAGTTTGGACGTGTAGCTGAAGATGTATTTACTATGGACTATAACTATCCTATGTGCGCTGTGCAGGCGTTTGGTGTGGCTCTTAGTAGCTTTGACAGCAAGTTAGCGTGTGAATAATCCAAATATGGTAAAACATCAGTATTTCAGCAATATTTAATATTGATATTACTATTACCATGGTTTTGTCAGCAGGCCTCAATTCTGAGTTTATGACAGTAATCTCCTTGTGTGTCCTGTGAGGGCGCTTGGTTAAATTTTTATAATTCAAACAAATCATGTTCATTTGATCTTTGTAACATCTGTGTACGTGGTAAACTGAGTAAAAGGTTGGAATACTTGAAGTTGCACTCTTAGAAGATGATTACCAATTTATCCTAATTGGGGACAAGTATTTCATTTTTTGTCATACAAATATGAGAGAATGAGTTTTTACTTACAAACATTTCGGTCGATAATTATATCCATTCATTCATTCAGTTGGAAAATCATTTTCTACAGGAGTCTGTAATTAAAACAGCAGTCATCACTTAAACTATGTTCAGTCATGTTCAATTATTTACACCACGGTTAGTGCTCTAGAACTGCATTACAACATATCCTCGGGGGCGGACATCCGGGTATTTTCATCGCCTGGCAACCCGCGGCGGTGAAAACAAAGGCCCAAAACTCGCATAAAACGGTACTTTGGGATGATTGTTGAGACTCCTCTGAACAGTGCAACAAAATTAGCCCTACGTGTGTAACATATATAAATTTGGTTGTTCGCGATTACTTTAAAGTTGAGTTTGTGTTGTTTTCTGGAATTTTCACCGGCTCGACCAGTGTTCCACAGCAGCGCACACAGAGCCCATAGAAATGCATGGTACAGTGGTGCGCGTCTTAGCAACGTGGAACGTC